GGGGGAAGGGTGTGACATTGACGAGCTAGCACAAGAAGTTTCTTTGCAGAGCCGGAACAATTCTGTATCCCAATTGTGATGTTGGTTACTTGAATCCATATATATGGTACAACTTTACAGAACTATATGTCTAAAAACACTTAAAAACAGGTAAAATATGAATAAGGTGTATATCTGAGTTAACACTGTGTCAATATCAACTTCCTGGCTTTGACAATCATTCGGGGAAGCTGAGTGAAAAGTACACTAGGAACTCTGTACTATTTTTGCAACTGTCTGTGAGTCTTGAGCTATTTCAAAATAAAAAGTTAGTTTAAATATCAAATCTAGGCAGTCTTGAACTTACCATAGTTCAACTTAAAACTTTTTGACTCTACAATGGTGCAAAAGTGATACACACTTCGTAATTAGTCCGGACAAACCTATTGTAAGTTGAAAATATCTTTAAGTTAAAGGTGTGTTTTTGACTTAAAATATTTTCAATTTAGGATGGGTTTATCATGATGTAACCCCATCATAATTGGAGGAGCATCTGTATATAACTTTAAGAAGAAAATATAGAAGGGAATAACAGGCTGTTCAAAATTATCCAATTAGGAGCTGGGCGCAGTGGCTCACACCACTAATCCCAGCACTTTGGGAGGCTGAGTCAGGTGGATAACCTGAGGTAAGGAGTTCAAGACCAGCCTAACCAACATGGTGAAACCCCATCTCTACTAAAAATACAAAATTAGCTAGGCATGGTGGCACCTGCCTGTAATCCCAGCTACTTGGGGGGCTGAGGCAGGAGAACTGCTTGAACCTGGGAGGTGGAGGTTGTAGTGAGCTGAGATTGGGCCATTGCAGTTCAGCCTGGGCAACAAGAGCGAAACGCCATCTCAAAAAAGAAAAATCCAATTAGTTAGATAGCAAAAAGATCCATGACTTTTTGAGTACTACACGTATAAAGAAAATGACTACAATATTAGTATTTCCTAAATGTTATCAATCTTTCCATCCTCAAATCTAAAATCTTATTAAAATGTCAGTTTTTCACAGATAAGCCAAACAGAAACAGACAACAGCTTTGATAATTGCACAAAACCTAAGTCTGCTTGGCCATAAGCTCTCACCTTTTTTTGCTTGTTTTTGTTTTGTTTTGTAGAGATGGGGTCTCCCCTTGTTGCCTAGACTGGTCTTGAACTCCTGGCCTCAAGCAACCCTTCTGCCTGGACCTCTCAAAGTGCTGGAATTGCAGGTGTGAGCCACCATTCCCAGCTTTCTCATCTTTAAGATGTATACTACCCTAAGAAATAGTAAAGATATCATTTAATAGATGCTACGTCAGCATCTGAAAGACAGAACTCACAATATATGTTGATAAAGAATAAATTAAAGGAGCTATTTGATTTGTAAAAATACATGGGCTAGCACATACTTCTGAGAAATGACAATAGTACAAAGAATAAAAATCATGTTCGTTATTTTTACTATTTATTCCATGAGTATCTGTTAGCTACCTACTTGTTAATAGGTACTATGAGCGACACTGGGATGCAAAATAAACAAACATGATTGGGGATTTCAGAGCACTCATATCAGGAATTGAGAGTAAAGATACACACAAGGATACGCCTATCCAGTAATCTTCCCCGCCCAGTTCACTTTACAGTAACTTTGTTCTTCCAATGCTGTGAATACACACAAATGAGTTTGCCAAAGTTACACTGAAATAAGAATGAAAACTTGCTATCAAGCAGTTGTTTTCTTGACCATAGCTAGGTAATATGAGTTAATAGTTCTCAAAGTAGACTGGAAGAAAAAGCAAGATAAGAGGTAACTGATTATGGTAATAAAATAATTAAATTCCATTAAGATCAATTACTGACACAGGGATCTTAGCAATTTTCTTTGTAATCATTCTCAATGGTCCTTTCTCTCACTGCCTTATGCCACAATATTTATTATCTAGAAAGGAAATTAACCCAATCCTCTCATCTCTTCCTGGCTTGATTCAAAGGGCTCATTTTCTCATCAGAATGAATCCTGCATTCATTCCATTCTTTGATTGTGTCATATTCACATTTCCTTTGATTTGTCCAGCACAACACAGTTTCAACACCCAATGTGAAGTCCACATGCTGCAAAGGATGACTGGCTTCTGCTGAGTGTCTGTAAACCAGGGCCAGCGTCTTTCCTATTTCTTTCCTATTTCTATCTACTCATTAAACACTCTTGCTTTAAACAAAATCAGATGCTTAACATTCTGAAGTATCCTATAAGCTTTGAACCTGAAAAATAGTTACACATATAATGCTTATATATTAGTGCTATGGATACTTCTAAAATTACATATTAGCTTTAAGAGACAAATCTTATATCCACTCAGCAAATGGCTGTTATGATCCTGAGTGCATAGTATAACCCATTTAAACCAGATCAATCTAACGTAGGTAAGTCCTTGGACTTCAAACTGTGCTACAAACTGACCAGCCTCCTGTTAGTAAAGTAGGTTACTAATATCATCTGTCCTTCAGTTTCTTTGCTTTAGTCAATTTTTATTACCATCAGCACTGAAGTGGGGAGCAAATTAGAAGCTTCTTCTGGATGTGGGGGTGAAAATTATAATAAAATAGCAACTAATCCAAGTTGATAATCTCTTTATACACACACAGCCCCAAAAAGGAAGCCATGTGAGGTAGTATGCAATCCTTACAATATTCACTTATTCAACAGATACATATTGATCATATAGTATGTGCTAGGCATTGTTCGAGGTATTGAAATCGAGCAGTGAATAAAACAAACACTCTTGCTCTTATAGAGTTTACATTCTATTAGGGGAAAAATCATCAGGGACAGGAACATGTACTGATTATTTTATAGGAAGAAAGACTCAAAGTCATGTGACATAAGACACTGTCTTTTTCTCACATGAAATTAGGAAAAAAATTCTCTTCTTAGGATAATGTGCTTACTTTCTTGAGAAACTCATGAGGGAATCAACAATAACATTCAATATTGGATAGGCAAAAATAGGAATTGGAGTAACACCCACATTCATTCTCACTCATGCTGTCTAAGCCCATCCTCCTCTTGATGAGGGGAGGAGAGCCTCCTCTAGCACCCACAAAAAGTGTGAGGCCCCCAATTTCTAAGACCCAAGAAGGGACCAAAGGAATGGTGAGAGGGGCATTTCTTTCTCTAGTAAAAAGACTGAAGATTCCAAAAGCAGCCCCAGGGCACTTGACTAAGGGCCATGAGGGGCTGTGTTGAAGCTAAAGGGCAAAAAGAAAAGAGAAGGCGGGGTGAGAACCAAGTATCAGCAGGTGGGCATCCTCTCCTGGAAGGGGAAAAGTCCATAAGGCCCTTCCCTGGAGTCCCATAAGGGAACAACTAAGCAGCAACTTTGAGATTCTTGTTATCCCCAACAAAATCAAGTGTATGTTTGATCTAAGAAAAAATGAAGCAAACAGGAGAGTCTCAGGATAAGGATGGCAAATGTCCCTGAAGCATACAGCTGGGATTTCAACACACACTCACACATACACATGCAGACTCATAGATGAAGTTTCCATAGATTATCAGCAGCAACACCGTGATGCCCTAATAGACAACAACAAAATAAAAACAAAAGCCTCTACATATGAGGTTGCCAAACTGAATTCTAGATTATCCCTTACACACACACACACACACACACACACACACACGTGAGCAAAAAATATTCTTTAGGACAGAGAAGGGAGTTTGTATGCAGAGAAAATAATGTATTCCATACAGTCCCTGGAATTTCCTTGGGGAAATGTACTGTAGCATTCCAGAGCATAATCAGGCAAGTAAAGTTCCCAGCAGCTTCTACATGGTTCTATAGCAAGCAAATGGGTCAAAACAGACTCTAAGCCCTGTGTGACCAATTAACTCCACAAAAATACACACTGAACTTTACTGCAAATTTGAGACACATAATCAAATGATATAAAAATGTGTATTTATATTCTGTCTACTTATCGTTTACATATGGATCTGACATGTAAAACAGATTACATTACTGAAAATAACTCAGAACACATAGCACACTTTTGATTACTGTTTCATAGGGGCCTAAGGAACAGAGGACAGCCCATGGGGTAAAGAGTCTCAGCAGGGGCATGGTGACACACTCCTGTAGTCCCAGCTACTCAGGAGGCTGAAGCAGAAGAATTGCTTGAACCTAGGAGGTGGAGACTGCAGCGAGCCAAGATCACACCACTGCACTACAGCCTGGGTGATGGTGTGAGACTCCATCTCAAAAATAAAAAAGAGTCTCAGCAGTTACAGGATTGATTTTTAAGTGAGTACAGCTTAGTATGTTACGTAATTTTTCCCCTTACTTAAGAAATTGAACCATGTTCATACTATAAATTATGGAATACATACATTATTTATTAATTAAATTCTAACTATAAAGTCACAAAGCAGTACAAATATGGATAAGTCATTAAACTATTTTCAAAGGAAAGGTTTCAATGTTTTCATGTTTGAATAGCTAAGTTAATTGATTGAACATGTTTAAATTTTATTTCCATCCATTTATTATCAATTGGGTAAGGCTTATAATTAATTCTAGAGATACCAAAATATTTGCATGTCTTTTAAAAAAATAGCTCGAAATATGTTTTACTTCAAAGTGTCAACTTGCCGTATTAATTTATTTCAACAACATAATACAGCCAAGACAAACACATTTTAAAAGCAGGGCAATTTAAGTACAGAGTTGGTAATATTTTAGGTTATCATTACAAGTTCTCCTAGGCAGTTTATTGGCAAATATGCTCTCAAAGACAAAGCTTTTGAATAGTAAAGAAAACAACTTGGTTTAAAAACCACATTCAGCCTAGAAAGTCTTCAGTATCCTAACTTCTTTGGAGTGCAAATAGCTAGACTTCAAAGAGAATGAGAAAGCTGAACACACATACTTCAGAGATGTCCTCAGAGCCCACAGTCAACAGGAGACGTGCTGGGAAAGTGAGGTCTCTTACCTGTCTCCAACACTTCTTCAGAAAAGAAGATGAATACTTTCCAGACAATGCCCTGAGCAGAATCACTCCCAAAGCACTGGGGGAAACATGCTTCTTCGTGGTACAACAATCCCTCTAGTGGCTGGGTCAGAAGGGTAGGCATTTCCATGAGCCTGCTGGAAAAGACCACATAGCGGCCTCTGTAATTTTAAGTTATTGGTCTTTCATTGGATGTTTACATAAATTCAGGAAACTAATCCAACCTCTACTCAGTAGAGCCAATATTTTTCTAAAAGTGACTTCAAGGATACCTCCTACCAAGTCTAACACACTTCTTCATATAGACAAAATGGTAAAGGGAAACTAAATTTTGCTTACTACAAAAATTCCATCATAAACATCACTGAATTTATGTACAATAAATGTCAATGTAAATACAATAATGCCAAACTTAAATTATATCTGTACATTCAGTATATCTGGCCTGCTATATATATTTTTAAAGAACATCATCCTAGATGAACTGAGATCTAGGTTACCAAATAAAACAAGTTAAAAATTTTTTTCTAATTCCAAGTACAAGTAACTTGGAGATCTGAACAAAGAAAAGAATGACTCACTATATATCCAATGAGGAAAATGAAAACAGTGCAGAGCAGTCATCTGGGTGGATTACTGACTTCTTTTTGGCTTTCATTTTCTTTACTGCATATGTGTTGGGTCCTTTTGTATTTTGTTCGGATCTCATAGTTACTCCTTAGGAAGTTTATTTTGACCACACTATTTTAAAAAGTACCACCCTGCCCCCTATTCCTTTATTCTGCTTTTTCTTTATAGCATGTGTGACATCATATTAATAACATAATATGTTTTTATTTATTTATGGCCACATCCTTCAGTAGAATGCAAGGCTCTTCAAAAATAAGAACTTTATTTAATTCGCTGCTATATCCTCAGCACCTAAGACAAGGCTTTGCAGAAACTAAGACCTCAATAATTATGTGTGAATAAAAAAGTAAACAGAGGCTTCTAGGATAAGTAGAGTCTATTGACATGAAGTACTTGTTTCCAAATTTTGACCCTTCCATTATGTCAGTAAGATAATGCAGTAGGCCATTCTCATGCTGCTATAAGGACAAACCTGAAATTGGGTAATTTATAAAGGAAAGAAATTTAATTGACTCACAGTTATCCAGGGCTAAGGAGGCCTCTGGGAACCTACAATCATGGTGGAAGGAGAAGCAAACACGTCCTTCTTCACATGTCAGCAGGAAGAAATGCCAAGCAATTGGGGAAGTGCCCCTTATAAAACCATCAGATTTCATGAGAACTCACTCACTGTTATAAGAAGAGCCTGGGGAGGGTAACTGCCCCCATAATTTGATTACCTCCCACTCAACCATTCCCACGACACATGGGGACTATGAGAACTACAATTCAAGATGAGATTTGGGTGGGGACACCGCCAAACCATATCAGATAATATAGTCTACCAAGTGATAAAGTAGTGAATTTCCACTTTGTACTGGGGAGAATAAATAGTGAAAGAGAAATAGTGTTAAAGATTTTAATATGCCAATACGAGGAAATTCACAAAAAAATTAAAAATTATTTTTTTAAAAATGCACAGCCAAATTCTTACTGCAGCCATTAGTAATTTGAATAGCATCCTCCAAACCTCTTGGTAGGCCTTTGTATACTCCTAGGACACATGGAGCATGTACCTAGAGAGCCATATGTCATCATTCTCTAGTAGTCTAGGATCCTGGAGAAAAAAAAATGTTGTAATAATTACAGAATAGAGTAAAATATACTAAGAAACAATTCTACAAAAGAGACTATTACGTCCTTTGGGGAAAGCCTCTTCTCTCTGTATTTCCTGTGGCAGCCTTCCAAGTCAGAATATCTTTGTATTTTTATTATTTATTTATATTTTTATTCCAGAATACATATGCAGAATGTGCAGGTTGGTTGCATGGGTATACATGTGCCATGGTAATTTGCTGCACCTATCAACCCATCACGTAGGTTTTAAGCCCCACGTGCATCAGGTATCTGTCCTAATGTTCTCCTTTCCCTTGCCCTCCACCCTCGACAGGCCCAGTGTGTGTTTTTCCCCTCCCTGTGTCCATGTGCTCTCATTGTTCAGCTCCCACTTGTTAGTGCCAGCATGCAGTGTTTGGTTTCCTGCTCCTGTGTTACTTTGCTGAGGATGATGGCTTCCACTTTCATCCATGTCCCTGCAAAGTATGGAATATGTCTTGAGCTTCATTAAAAAGCAAATACTTTAGCACTGCAGTTTCTAAGAGCTGGTAAACTATAAGAACTGAGAGATCAAATTAAAGAAAAATAGTGTCTCATTCCATTCTGTTTCTTTGACTAACAGTTTGACAATGTCATTTCTGATGATCAAGTATCACTTATGTAAGAAGTAGTGTAACAACACAATTTCAATTGTTTTCAGAAAAGGGATTAATGTTGGACTTGTGGTTAAATATTATTGTACTCCCTCCTGAAACCCACTAAAAAAAATAAAGAAATGGATAAAAATGATAAAGGCCACAAGGGCTAAAAAAAAAAATTGTAACAGGGAAATCAGTGGATAAATGACAACTGATATGGCAGAGAGAAGTAAGTCCACACTTAAGTCAGCAGAGAAAACCCAGGAGCCCCAGAAAATCTCAGGAATTAAAGACACTAGGAAATCTTAGGGATTCAGGTGAGGCAGAATACAGAATGATAGACAGAATGTCAGTAGAAAACTATAAATGTCTGTATAGAAAGTACTGCACTCCAGATCCTACACAGACACATAGACGCACGTGCGTGTGCATGCACGCACACACACACACACACACACACACACGCATGACTCATCCAGCTGGAGAGCTATGTCTTCTCCAAGGAGAATAAAAGTGTCCTTCACTTTAACATAAATGGAGACTTCTACTTCTGAGTATGACAGAGTAGCTTACAGCAGAGCTAAGAACAACTAGAAAGGTTATTTTTTAAGAAAAATTTTAAAGCTGTTTGAAGACACATAAGAACTGTTGAAATAATGGATTGAGAGGAAGAGGGAAACAGCAGAGAATGACCTGACATTCTATAGTGGCATTCCCCTAGTGCATTGCCAATTCTGAGAGCAGGGCAAGAAGTTAGCAATGCAGACTTCTCACACAGAGGAGAAACCAGCAAAGATTTTGGCAGCCTTCTTATACTGGGAAGATAAAAATTGTAACAAAGTAACAAACAGAAAGTCCAAAATCACAGTGAAAAAGAGGGAAATGAAAAAAGAAGGCCAACACTCATCTGGTATTACCCTTAAGACATGAGTTCTGAAGTATCAAGGGGCAGGAAGTTAAAAGCTAAGAAGAAATCTTTCAAGGAGGAGAGGGTAGATTTTTATGCTCTTAAAGTACTGATAAGGCAGGGATTAAAGTTCAGGATTTGCCAGTGAAAAGAGTCTCAGTGAATATAGCAAATTGGAAGATCTGCAGAGCTACACCCCAAGAGTGGATTTAAAACAGAGGTAGAAAAGACATCCAATGTTCATGGATTGGAATAATTAATATTGTTAAAATGTCCATGCTACCCAATGCAATCTACTGATTCAATGCAATCGCTATAAAAATCCCAATGACATTTTTACACAAATTTTACAATTTTAAAATTAATATGGAGACACAAAATATCCCAAATAGCAAAAGCAATCTTGAACAACAAAAACAAAGCTGCAAGCATCAACTACCCTATTTCAGAATATACTACAAAGCTATAGTAATCAATACAGTATAGTACTGGCATAAAAACAGACATATGGACCAATGGAACAGAATAGAGAACCCAGAAATAAGTTCACACATTTACAGTCAATAACTGCAATAATTTGGGAATCTTCTATAATAACCTAGGGATCTTCAACAGATTCCCGAAGAACACAAATGGAAAAGGTATAGTCTCTTCAATAAATGATGCTAGAAAAACTAGGTAGCCACATTCAGAAGGATGAAATTAAACTCTTATCTCACATCAGACACAAAACCAACTCAAAATGGATTAAAAACTTAAATGTAAGACCTGAAATATAAACTATTAGAAAACATAGAGGGAAAGCTTTATGACATTTGTTTGGCAAGAACTTTTTGTATATGACCCCAAAAGCATAGGCAACAAAAGCAAAAATAAACAAATGGGATTGTATCAAACTAAAAAGCTTATTACAGCAAAGATAACAATCAAAAAGTGAAGAGGCAATCTACAAAATGAAAGAATATGTTTGCAAACCATACACCTGATAAAAGGTTGATATCCAAAATATATAAGGAACTCAAGTAAGTCTTTAGCAAGGTAACAACTAACTCAATTAAAAAATGGGCAAAGGGGCTGGGTGCAGTGGCTTATGCCTGTAATCCCAACACTTGGGAGGTCAAGGCAGGCAGATCACTTGAGCTCAGGAGTTCAAGACCAACTGGGGCAACATGGCAAGACTTCCTCTCTACTAAAAATAAAAAAAATAAAAATAAATTGCTAGGCATTATGGCATGCACCTGTGGTCCCAGCTACTCAGGAAGCTAAGGTGAGAGGATCGCTTGAGCTCAGGAGGCAAAGGTTGCAGTGAGCTGAGATTGTGTCACTGTATTCCAGCCTGGATGACAGAGTGAGACCCTGTCTCAAACTTAATTTTTTTTTTAAAGAAATGGGCAAAGGACCTGAAGACAAATGGCCAAAAGATACAAGAAAACATTCTCAACATCACCAATCACTGGGAAATGTAAATTAAAACCATAAAAACCTTAAAACCCTTTGCCCATAATAAGATGTCACCTCACACCTGTTAGAGTGGCTATTATAAAAAAGACAGGAGATAGTATTTATATGGATGTAGAGAAAGGGGAACGCTTATATACTGTTAGTGGGAATATAAATTAGTACAGCATTTATGGAAAATTCGATGGAATTTTCTTGGAAATTGAAAGTAGTACTACTACCCTATCATATGATCCAGCAATTCCACTTCTGGGTATATATCCAAAGGATATAAAATTAGTATATCAAAAAGATGTCTGCATTCCCATGTTTACTGCAACATTATTCACAGTAGCCAAGATAGAAAATCAACCTTAGTGTCCACATTTACGTATGTAACAAATCGGCACATCCTGCACATATATCCCTGAACTTAAAAGTTTAAAAAAAAAAGCTTGCTAATAGAGAAAAAATAAATAAATAAATAAAAATTTTTAAATCTTAGTGTTCATCAATGAATGATTAAAGAAAATGTGGCATAGTGTGATATAGATATACAATCGAATACTATTCAGCCTAAAAAAAAAAAAAAAAGGAAAGCCTAACATTTGTAACAACATGAATAAACCTGCAGGACATACCACTAAGGAGATAAGTCAAGCACAAAACAATGAATGCTAAGTGATCTTACTCATATGTGGAATCCTTAAAAAGTCAAATGCATAGAAATTGAGAGAACAGTGTTATCAAGGACCTGGGGTTATGGAGGAGGAAGGATTGGAGAGATGTTGGTCAAGGGATACAAAATTTCACTTAAACAGGGGGAATAGGTTCAAGAGAGCTATTGTAAACATGGTGAGTAACTATAGCTAATAACAACACAAAGTATACTAGAAAATTGCTAAGAGAGTCGATTTTAAATGCATTCACCAAAATAAAATGGTAAGTATGTGAGAAAATTTAGCCTTTCCACAATGTATACCTATATCAAAACATCATGTTGTACAACTTTTGTTTTATTTTGTTTATTTTGTTAATAACAAGTAAAAAATACAATATTTACTCATCAATTAACAAAAAATAAAAAATGTTTTAAAATAAATCAGGTAGAAAGAACTTACCAAAACTGTAATCTAGCTTTGACTTATCTCAGTCCCTGATTGGATTAAGGTAAGCAGTTTCACTCTATCTGCCTGGAAGAGAAAAAGTAAAACCTCTTTGGAGGAATAAATCATTATTTGAACCTCTACAATTTCTTCTTACCTAATGTCTCATATTCAATCAACAATTACTAGATGTGACAAAAGATAAGATCATATAAACAAAACTCAAGACAAAAAACAGGAAATAGAAAGAGGTCCATATTGACTATACATTGGAGGTAGCAGAGAGTGACATTAAAATAATCATGATTAATATGTTCAGGAAAATAGAGGAAAAAGTGGCAAATATTACCAGATGACTAGAATTGATAGAAAAGAATCAAATAAAAATTCTAAAACTAAAAAGGAATATCTTTAAAATTAGGAACTCAACAGATGATTTGAAAACAGGTTACATATAAAGAAAGGAGATCAGTGATATAAAAGACTGGTAAATGAAAACCCCAAAGTGAAGAACTATAAAGAAAGGACTAAAAACTATTTTTAAAAGTAAAATACAGATAAGTCAGTCATATGGCATAATATATGTGTAACTAGAGTCTCAGAAGGTTAAGTGAGAGCTAGAAAATTGTGTAGAATCACTAGATGCAGAAAAAAATTGCTGAGATCTTCTGAAACTGTTGAAGTATGTTAACTCGACAATTCAAGAAATACTATAAACCCCAAACAGAATAAGCAAGATTATTATTTGCTAATTAAGTAAATGAATAAATAGTCGATGCCATAATCCCAACCCATCAGCATATCATTGCCATGGCAATAGAAAATTGGCTTAGGCAGCCAGGGGCAGTGGCTCACACCTGTAATCCCAGCACTTTGGGAGGCTGAGGCTGGCAAATTGTGAGGTCAGGAGTTCAAGACCAGCTTGGCCAACATGGTGAAACCCATCTCTACTAAAAATACAAAATTTAACTGGGCTTGGTGGTGTGCGCCTGTAGTCCCAGCTACTCCGGAGGCTGAGACAGATGAATTACCTGAACCCGGGAGGCGGAGGTTGCAGTGAGCCAAGATCATGCCACTACACTCCAGCCTGGGCCATAGAACCAGACTCCCTCTGAGGAAAGAAGGAAGGAAGGAGGGAAGGAAAAAGGAAGGGAGGGAGGGAGGGATGGAAGGGAGGAAGGAGGGAAGGGAGGCAGGGAGAGAGAGAGAAATAGAGAAAGAGAGAGAGACAGAAGGAAGGTAGGAAGGAAGGAAAGAAGGAAAGAGAGAGAGAGAAAGAGACAGGCAGAAAGAGAAAGAAAGAAAAATAAAGGAAAGGAAGGAAGGAAGAAAGAGAAAGAAGGAAGGAAGGAAGGAAGGAAGGAAGGAAGGAAGGAAGGAAGGAAGGAAGGAAGGAAAAAAGAAAGAAAGAAAGAAAGAAAGAAAGAAAGAAAGAAAGAAAGAAAGAAAGAAAGAAAGAAAGAAAGAGAAAGAAAGAAAATTGGCTTTGGAGCAAAAGAGACACCCATTTCTAAGGCTACCATCAACCTTTATGTTCTTGTTGGCATGACCAAAAGAAATGGAGGAGCTGATCTATTATTTAGCCAGTTGCATATTACCTAAGCAGCTCATTCAACTCACTAAGACATAAGTCACATTAGGGAAGGGATTTCTTTTCTTGTTCATGCTCTATCCTCAGTGCCTGAACTGCCAGTTCTTCACAGTAAGGAATCAACTAACATTTATGGCATTAATGAATGAACCATCTATTCATTAACTCATCTTCAAATATTATTTGCATGAATTTTCTTTCAATGGAATTGGAAATAATACTTATTATCTCACTCAACTTTATCTCTGGGGCTATGGGTAAACTGCTGAAATATTATTTTAAATGCTGATTCACAATTTTAAAATAGGAGCTCATCTCTGAGAATGTCTTGAACCAATGGACACTTCTACTTAATTTTCACACACTTACCTACCAACTTATTGCAGTGTTCCACCTTATTAACCTTTTCCATTCACCAGCTTGGATGATACAGGTTACAGACAATGAACAAAGGGGTGTGCTCAGAATTATTGCTTGTTAGATTATCAGATTCTAGTTTTTTTCATCATACCTTTTTAAAATGAATGACCTGGCAGTTTTTCACAGAAAGTTTTTGACTTCAGATATGACCTTGGTTAAGTCACTTCTTCTTTCTGTGCATCCATTGCTAATCTAGACTAGAAGACAGACCACATCAGAGGCACCAATAGCGCAAAACTCAGAGTGAATGGAAACTATAGACACATCTTATTTTACCTGCAGAGAGGTTTTGGAAGGTAGGAGGTGTGTGTTTGTGTGTGTGTATGACTGAGGGGGTGGTTGGTTGCCAATATATAAAAATGTTGTTATGTAAAGATTCAAACATCCAAATTTCTATCTTCTTCATTGATCAGATCTGGCAACACTGAGTCTCATGCAGTGGCCAAAAGAAAATTCCTCCTTTGTCCTCCACATATTTGCTGGAAACCAATTCACAAAAGGCAGATTAATGGGAGAAAGGACATATAAATTTACTTTAATGTACATAGCATGGGGGAAATCGCAGGAAAATTATCACCCAATAATCCAATGGGGTCCAGATTGTTATACACCCTTCTTTTTAGAGGATGGGGAGATGGGGCAGTGTAGATGATGTTAATGGGTTAGTAAATGAGGAAAATTCAATGGGCTTGAAATGTATACAATGGCCTGAGACAGTCTGTTGGAACTTCAGAGCGAATAGTGAAAAAAAATCTGTCCATGTGTGTTGACAGACTTCATCTTCCTTCCTGCAATATAGTTCAGTTAATGAAAACTCATGGAAGGGACCAGAAGTCATGGTTTTCTTTTTTGGAGGGTCCAGATTTTAGGCAGATGAGAGAACTTCATAGACTAACTTAATCCTGTACTTTGGGAGAGACAGAGGGCTGAGAGAGAGGATGGTGGCTGGGTAGGTCAGAAAGATCTCTAGGCTTTTTTTCCAGTTCAGTATGTCAAAGGGACATATTTTGGGGTATTGTTTTCTGAGATCCAACATTCACATGAGAACAGTTTGGGGCTGCCCTCTTCCATAACAGCCTGATTTCTCTGGTTCTCCCAGTACCCTCAGACCCACATTACTCCTTAATGTGACCTGACCCCTGAACTAGGTGAGTCCTGATTTCCTTGTATATGGAACATTTTGTTATTGTATAAAATACCATCATTTAGTGTGTTAGGCCATTCTTGTATTGCTGTAGAGGGCTGCCTTAGATAGACTGGGTAATTAATTTTTTTAAAGAGGTTTAATTGGCTCAGATTTCTGCAGTCTGCACAAGCATGGCCCCAACATCCATTCAGCTTCTGATGAGGCCTCAGGAAGATTTTACTCATGGTGGAAGGTGAAGTGGTAGCAGGTATCTCACATGGCAGAGTGGGAGCAAGGGAGAGGTGGGTACCACATTTTTTTTTTTTTTTTTTTTGAGATGGAGTCTCGGTCTCTAGCCCAGGCTGGAGTACAATGGCATGATCTAGGCTCACTGCAACCTCCATCTCCTGGGTCCCAGTTCAAGCAATTCTCTTGCCTCAGCCTCCTGAGTAGCCGGGATTACAGGCATGTGCCACCATGCCCAGCTAATTTTTATATTTTTAGTAGAGATGGTGTTTCACCATGTTGGCCAGGCTGGTCTTGAACTCCTGATCTTGTGATCCACCCGCCTTGGCCTCCCAATGTGTTGCAAGTACAGGCATGAGCAACTGTGCCTGGCCAGGTGCCACATATTTTTAAACAACCAGAATCCACGAAAGGTCACTCACTATTACACGGACAATGCCAAGCCATGAAGTATCTGCTGGGACTCAACCACCTCCCACCAGGCCCTACCTCCAACATTGGGATTACATTTCAACAAGAGGTTTGGGAGGACACAGATCCAAACCATATCAGTTGGTATTAGATGACTAATCAGCATTTAATAAACATGTGCATAGGTTAAACCCGTGTGGCCACTATATATAATTTCTTCATGGTTAAGATCATAGGCAAACTTGATGCTCTGAGTCTCAGTTTCCACATCGGTAATGAAGGGACTAGATTGCTAAATGAGGGTTTACTTGGGCCTAGTAGTCCTATGCAGCCCAATGTCCTCACTCTGATTTTAAAGCTGCTTCTCAAATATGCCCAGATATTAACACTGAATGACTATAAACTCTTAAAACATTTCCATTAACACTCTTCTAGTTAATGAAGTAGATAATATAAATTGTAAAATGGTATTACTAAGAAGCAATAACGAAGGACTGAGGTCTATCTTCTTTTTATATATATATTATTTCTTTTTTTGAGACAGAGTCTCACTCTGTCACCCAGGCTGGAGTGCAGTGGCATGATCTTGGCTCACTGCAATCTCAGCCTCCCAAGTAGCTAAGACTACAGGCACATGCCACCATACTTGGCTAATTTTTGTATTTTTAGTAGAGACAGGATTTTGTCATGTTGACAGGGCTGGTTTTGAACTCCTGACCTTAGGTGATTCACCCGCCTCAGCCTCCCAAAGTGCTGGGATTACAGGCATGAGCCACCTGTGCCCAGCCTGAGAGCTATCTTCTTAACATAAATATTGGAAGACAGAAGACAATAAAGTTGTATCTTTAAAATGCCTTATGACAATAATTGCCAACATGGAATTCTATACTTTGTGAAGTTATTTCAAAAACTCTGATGAAATAAAGACTTTCCCATCAAGCAAAAGCTTTGAGGATTTGTTGCCAGCACAGCACATCTAAATGAAAAGAAATACTAAAGAAAATTCTTCCGGCAGAGAAAAAAACAGTTCCAGAAGCAATGGTGGAAATGAAAAAAAGAATGAAGAGCATGAGAAAAGATAAATACATGAACTAAATGTAAAAACAAATGAAGTTTGGCTACGCAAAACAATAGGTTTACAAAACAATGACTATGAAAAACGATGCCTTTGCAGGGTTTCAAATATCTGTAAAATAGTTACAAAAATTCATGACAATGGTAGTTCAAAAGGAAAGAAGGGGTAGAATTGCAGTGAAGTGCTCTAAATTTCTAACATTATCAGATAAGAGGTAAAGTAAATAGATAGCCCATGGTAAGCAGACATTAGAGAAAAGCCCCTAATGTAAAAGACAGAGACCAAAGTAACAACAAGCAAACAGAAACCAGTCTGAAAAGAAACAAAGACAGTGTAGAGAGAAGACAAAATAACATACTCAGAGCAAGAAAAATTCACGAATAGAAAGATCAGAAAAGATGCTGCATCCATGAAATAAGAAAGCAAAAAAAGAGCATTCAGAAAACAAAATATAAAGTGCTTTTGGAAATTTAAGTGAAAATAGAAACTTGGAAGTGACCCAAATGCTCATCAATGACAGACTGGATAGAGAAAATGTGGCACATATACACCATGGAATACTATGCAGCCACAGAAAAGGATGAGCTCATGTCCTTTGCAGGGATATGAATGAAGCTGGAAACCATCATTCTCAGCAAACTAACACAGGAACAGAAACCAAACGCTATATGTTCTCACTCATAAGTGGGAGCTGAACAATGAGAACACATGGACACAGGGAAGGGAATATCACACACTAGGGCCTGCCAGGGGGTGGGGGGGCTAGGAGTGAAATAACATTAGGAGAAATACCAAATGTAGATGATAGGTTGATGGGTGCAGCAAACCACCATGGTACATGTATACCTGTGTAACAAACCTGCACATTCTGCACATGTATAACAGAACTTAACCTATAATTAATTAAAAAAAAATCAACCAGCTATGGCGGCACATACCTGTAATCCTAGCTACTCAAAGAGGCTGGGGCAGGAGGATCACTTGAGTTCAGGGAGTTGAGGCTGCAGTGAGCCGTGATTGCACCACTACACTCAGCCTGGGCTATAAAACAAGACCCTGTTTCAAAAAAGAAAAAAACGAAAGAAAGAAATGTTCAGTATTCAAATAAGTAATTTTTTTATTTTTCTAATTTTACAAATCATGCTGTAATAAATGTCTTTGTAATTAAAGTTCATTAAGTAAAAAAAATTCAATAACAGGATTTGAGGGGAATGCTAAGTAGTCTCTCAAAAGAAAGAGTAAGAAAGAAGAAAAAGGTTCACCCTTCCATATATATATATATATATATATATATATATATAAAATAAGAGACGAAAGATGAGAAAAATTAGGATCAATCCAGGAAATCCAAAATCAGAATAATAAGAGCATTAGACAAAAATAGATAAAACAGAAAGAAGGAAACTATCAAACTTTAAAAAATAAACTCCAAATACAAAGGCAGGAGTTTCCAGATTAAAAGTACTAACAGAAGCAATAAAAAAATGCATTATAAGGTACATCATTAAGAAATTTCAGATCACCAGGGGCAATAAAAAGGCCAACTAATTTCCAAATAATCAAAAAGCAAAAAGCCCAGATTCAACGGATCAAGAATTAACCTCACATCAGATTTCTCAGCAGGAACACTGGATGCCCTGAGAACAGGAGCAATGCTTGTAAAAAATTCTGCAGCAATCTGGCTTTCATCTTAGAATCTAGACCTGGGTAAACTAGAAATCATGTGTGAGGATAAAATTAAATCATCATCAGACATGTAGGATCTCCAAAACTTTGCTTCCTATGTCCCCTTTCTTGATCAACTCCTGTATGGTGTTCTTCTCAACTAAAATATGGGAGGAAACCAAGAAAGGGGAAGAACGGGGATCCAGCAAAAAGAAATTCATGACAGAAGCCAGTTAACAGAACCTTCACGAGGTGGCAAGGGGAGGCTGAAGGATGGCAGTTATGTGTCAGGCCTTGGTAAACCGTCCAGATCAGAACACAAAAGAGGACTTCCAGAGGGATGTGCTCCCAGCGCTCTGCCTCCCAACAAGAGAATGTAAACAGGTCACATTATTTTCAGATGTACTGCCTGTGCTTGAAACAAGATTTACACTTCTGGCTGACAGTTTGGAAATAAATTAGTGATAATTGTTGTTTACACAGAAACCTAAGGAAAGAGAAAAAGAAAGAGAGAAATGGACAAAAAAAGCTAATTATTTACCCCGGGAAAACCTAAACTTATAAAATATAAGAAATATAACCATACCTTGCTACACTTCACAGCTGTGAATAATTACACAGTATTAACAATGTAAACAGTGAATATTGACGTAATCAAAAATTATAATGCAACAAGAGAGGATGAAGAGGGGGATATATCTTGGGGTTGCGGGAGGTGACTTTAAGAGCATAAATTCTTGCCTTCCATATAGTAAGGGGCCAGTAAATAAGGCCTAAAACTGGAAACAAATCAAGAAGTAATACTACAAACAAGTTATTTAGAAATATGGCAATAAACAGCAGAAGAAACAGCTTAAAGTTGAAAGAGGTTGTCTCTGGGGACTTGGAGTCAAGGAGGGAAGGGTGGGACAGAATATTGCTGTTTTTTATTATGAGCTTTGTAGAAGGTTTGACTTTTTAAACAATGTACATGTATAACTTTGATAAAACAATATTAAATTTAAAAAGAGAGAGGGTGACATGAAGCTTTGAGAGCTCCAAAATAAAACTAGCATGAGTCATTGGCATGCCACTAAACTTGAAATGCTTGAATTCTAAAGCTTAAACCTTGCTTTTTCTAGTCCTCACTTTTCTTGGGGGGATTCATTAATTCAGAGTAAAAAAGAGAATCCCTGTGAACTACTAATTACTAGCAATTAATGTCCCTTTTTCTTAAGTCCAGTTGCAAATCATTGTTGCCTAAAAACTAGGACTGCCAAGCTCATTCTAAGAAGGTGTATAGCTGATAAGGTGCCTTATAAAGGCCAAGGTAAAAATCTACACCTCTTGTTCTATTTCCCTTGTGTGACTAAACAAAAGGCATGAATAGCAATTCGACTGTCTGTAAAGCTGAATGTGCACCAGGTGCAAGGACAGATCGCACTTTATGTTAGTGAATACACCAAGGATTTCATTACTAAACGACTTCAATCTGCTGAAAAGAATTACTGCCACCAGAAGACCTAACTATGAATGAAGGAAAATGCAACATAAAGCAATATAGGCATTTCCAAAAAAGCATTGGAAGATCAACAGCTCTTTTAGATTTCTCCAAAGAACAGCTCCTCCTCCCTACTTTCACATCTAGCGAAAGATGGTGTGCTGCTTTCTTTATCACACTGTTTAACCAGGTAGCTATTAACAAAGAAGGCTCTCCTTTGCTGCTTTCTTCTGCCTGTAAGTATTTTGAAGCTAGTATTGACCCTAAGAGGGTCAGAGCTTATACTGACATCAGGTTAGCATGGCATTGCAGCCATGAATCTCATCCACAGTTTGAGGAATTAAAGTATAATAATGGAATCCTATCAGGTATTCTCTAACTTACGTGTTTGCTTAAAATTTACTTACTTGCTTACATATTGATTCTTGCCCAATGACCATAAGTGGTGAAATTTACAATGCAGACAAAAAAAGTCCAGTTAGTGAGGCTGACCATATCTAGTTTTACCTACTTTCAGCTGCCAACAAGAATATTTCTCTTATTTTGAAACATATTTTCTCCCATAGAAGGAATAAGAATGACTGTGGAACAAGCATTTAGGCAACATGCATTTTGGAAAGCAACCAGTGTGCTCTGGGTTTTGAGAAATTCTGGCTATGGAATGTTTCTGAAAATAATGATTCGGTCACAGTATGCTGTTAGCCATTTCTGAAAACTCGATTTTCATTGTGCTGGCCACTTTGGCACGCTTTCTAATTCTCAGACGGTTTCCATCTATCCAACCTGAAAACACAAGTGCTAATTGTCTTGCTCTGGACTCTCTTAGTAGGTGTAAACTTTCCATTTGAGTCATGAGGGTCCAGCCCCATGATTCTTGTTAATGTTAATAAATAAAGCTCTATAGTAAAACGTTGGCCAGAGTGAAACAACTCTCAGAACATATGGACTCAAGATGATCATTCACACACAGGCACCAAGGAACTCAATCCAAGAACCTAAATGTGTAGTTTCTTCCTAGCTCAGACTGGTTTTCTGCCTCATACATAGGAACAGGTGAAAAGAATTTATACCTTGACCATTCAATTCCTCACATTACATTTGGTAAAATTATGTTACACTTTTCCAGTGTAGAGAGGAATTGTTAAGGTGAGCATTTTTGACTCATCACCACCTTCTTCAAAAGAGACATTTAGTAGGCATAATATGTGGAGTCCCAATCTTTTCGGAGAGACAGGACCTAACTTGAGACAGTTAATTGACAACAATAAGTAGAGTGTTCCCTAAATGACAAATGAATGACACAAATGAATTAATGCTAAAGGAATTGGGGAAGGGGAGGTACACGGTTTGAGCAGGAAAGGTGGATTACAAAGAAGTAACAATGAGCTGAGCCTTAGCAAGGTATGAGATAGAACTAAATGGAAAGGCAGCATACTACAATTTTTAAAAGTATGAATTCTGGGAAAATCTACCTGGCTGTGAATCCCAACTCTGCCGTGTAATAGCTGTATGGCCTTAAACAATTTGTTTAACATTGCTGAGCTTTAATTTTCTCTCTTGTAAAAATAGGATTAAATAATATCTGCCATCTTAAAGGGATGACAGGTTATATTTAATTAAAACAGGTAAAGGACCTAGATTAATGTTTCGCACAGAGTTGCTGTTGTTGCTATATAACAGATGAGACAGGAGTTTAGAAGACATTCCAGGAAAGGGAAATATCCCAGCAAGTTAACAAAACATATTTCATCACGTGATTACACTGAAATGAAAAGCTCACGACAGTGCCAGAATCAGAAAGTTTTCCGTTTGTTCCACATATTGGTGAACCGGCAATTTGAAAAGGTAAATGTGAGTGGTGAGATTTCACTTAAATAAAGCATTACCCATATCTGTGTTGGACATTTTGATTATTATTCTAAAATGTAAAGAGTTGAAGCATGTGTCATTAATTTTAAAAAAGGCAGTTCACATATTTTTTTAATGACTTCAGTCAGACAGGAAGACCCAGGTGCATTAGAGGCAGGCATTAGTGCAACACTAGAAAATAAGAAAATGAGGTGCCAAACAGTCCACATGATTTAGAACTCATTTCGCCAGTCACTATGAATGCAAATGTCGCATTTACATAAAATCCACTCATATAGATGCTAATCGGGAACAAAGGAGAGGCTATCACTTCTCCTATCTAGCATCAGAAATGGGAAATCAGAATCCAAATTATTCCCATTGGAACTGGTGATAGGATCTTTCAAACTGTTGTGTTGATCAGCTTTAATATTTTGATATTCAAGAAGTATCTATTGAATAAAGAGTACTCATTGAGTGTTAACCATGACCAGGCATTGTCCCAAATGTTTTTAATGCATTTTTCATATAATTTTTTACAACAACTCTAATTAGAAGCTTCCATTATTGTTCCTTCTTTTGCTGATAAAGAACTCAGCGCCTGTAATCCCAGTACTTTGGGAGGCCGAGGCGGGTGGATCACAAGGTCAGGAGATCGAGACCATCCTGGTCAACATGGTGAAACCCCGTCTCTACTAAAAATACAAAAAATTAGCTGGGCATGGTGGCGCGTGCCTGTAGTCCCAGCTACTGGGGAGGCTGAGGCAGGAGAATTGCCTGAGCCCAGGAGGCGGAGGTTGCGGTGAGCCGAGATCGCGCACTCCAGCCTGGGTGACAAGAGCGAAACTCCGTTTCAAAAAGAAAAAAAAAAAAAAAAAAGAACTGAGCCTTAGAGAGGTTAAGCAAGTTGCCTCCTCATATTCCAAAGTAAGTGTGTCTATCTGATTTTAAAGCACATGCCTCCTGCTCAATATTAAAGTGTTTGCTCTAACTCCATTGGCACTCACCTCTCACCTGCATATGCCCAGTTCTACTCCCATTTCCGGAAACAGAGCATCCAAAGAGTGGCTTCTTTTCCTTTAAGCCAGGCAGAAATTTATGCAAGGGAGAAATATGGAAGGAAATGGAAGGAACAAGTATGGTGCTAGGGAGTCTGACAGAATTGTTCACCTGAATGCAAAGGAGAAATCCCAATACTTCCACTGCCCTTACATGCCATTCTGTTTTAATCAGCCAACAGCAGCAACAATCTAATTGAGGAATTGCATTGCCACATTAGGTAGGAGAAGACAAACTGCTTAAGTAGTTGTTTTTAGCAAATATTGAAGACAATTTCAAAGGCCCAAGGCAAGGAAATAAGATTTGTGCACTTACAGCTAGATGCATCTGATAATTTCTCATAACGTCAGAGTTCTTAAAATGTTTTATTTCAGGCAATCTGTAGGAGTAAGACATTAGAGCCAAGTGAATCAGCATAGAACCTTGCTGCTGATTCTCTGATTTTGAGAGCAATATTTGTGTTCCTCTTGAGAGGACTGTTTTAGGATCTTGTATCTGCTTCTATGCCATTCAGTTGCCTCCCCACCTACCAATGGGTCTCAGCTCCACCAAGAACTCCCACACCTTACCCCTCTAAGTTCTGACACCCACCCTACTGTGCAGGCTCCCGCAGAGGGGTCCTTTAATATTGCATCTCTTAATTCCAAGCACCACCCATAACACAAAATACAGGGTAAACTCACTCTATAAAAGAGTTTGGGGTAAAGTCAGGTCCAGTAGGACATAAGAGTTCATGGGAAAAGTAAAAAAATTAAGTAAAATTTTAAAAGCCCTTCTCAAGTGAATCACATGAACACACATCGAG